CATGGAATATCTCTCGTATGCAGAATTGTAAGAAAAAGCGGAGAATCGAATACTTTAATTAACTGATTAATTACTCTATTGCTCACGATTAAAAAATTGAAAATTTCAAATACCAATATCTTTCTCATTAGACTTCTGACCCGAGTGTTTCAAGTATAAAAACGTTCTGCTATGCGGTCCGCAACTTATCCTGGTATTATTTTAGGCGTAAAAACTAATGAAAAGATTCAGCAGCGCAAAAACTATATTCGAATGTGTCGGTAAAACAGACGACTTTAGCATCCTTTTAACTTACACGAAAATCCCAGATAGCACACTGAATTCACAAAGTATATTTCTAACGGGCGGCGCAAAAATTTGAGCGCCGCACGTGACAACGCAAATGTTTAGTAATAACTTTAAATTTATAAGAATCTAAATCGAAAAGAACATTTGTATTATACATATAATATTTATTTGTATTATCTTTGTTACATTAATAAAAGAAATTTAAAACTATTACTGATTGGTATTAAATTTATTTCATATTCTATTTAGAGTTAATTTCTATAATAATTGTATTTTCTATAATAATTGTATAGTAAATAATTCCACAAAAGCGTTCACGCGATATTAAAATTATTCCAAAAAGATTTAGCGTTACATTACTGCTATAATTATAATATATCTTCACGCTTAAACGTAATAGTATATTGTAAAACCTAGACAGATTCTATTTTGTTTACCGAATATTTTCCTAAAGTTTTTTTATAAATGGGATGAGAATCGGATTTCCAATTGGTATCACAATATATGTATTATCCTATTTGGGATAAGTTTGGGTAATCTAATCAGAATCTAAGCTATATTTGGGAATGTTTGGGAAATTTCTATTCGGGATTATATTTACTAAGTAATTTATAATTATTAAATTGACTTAACTCAATTTAATTTAATTTATTTTACTATTAATTAGGATTATTTAAAGTTTTCTCTATTATTCCAAGATAAAACTAATAACATCTTGATTCCCAGTTTGATTTATTATAAAACTTATTTTTAAAAAAATGTATATGAGTACTTATAATAATAAATAAATTTTAATTAGTCATAATAAGTTAATTAGTAAAATCGATGTGAATAGTGATTCCTAAATCAATGATTAATATCATTTGTAAAATATAGCATTATATTTATATAGCAAACTATAACAAGAATTAGTGTGCCAGCTGTCTAATCAACAAGATACAGTCTGTTCTAAAATTAGTCAGCTAATTAAAATAATTATAACTATTATTAATTAAAATAACTATTTTTTACCTTTAATCAAAATTGATCAAATATGAAATGGAAGAAGGGAAGTCTAGGTTCAAACCCAGTTTGAGGTAATATTTTTCGCAATGAATTTTCTGTATTAAAGCACTGACCGGTTAATATCAACTAAATAACTTGATTAATGAAATGAATTGGTTTTGAAAATTTTTCAGATTTCGAGTTTTGGCCACATATATAATATGTAAATCATATACTATTTATGTAGGAGTCTAACTTCTCCATAGTTGAGCTACAATTACAAAACGAATGTCTATATCTAGTGCCGAATGATAATTGTCCAGTATATAGCAAATTTTTGAGAAAGTATAAAGTAATGGAAATTATGAATAACAAAGAAGAATGCACAAAAATGACAGAAAAATGTACAATATTTCACAAGATAGGAACATTGTGCCATTGCAAGCATCTTTAAGACAAAATGCACATTGCTCCATGGTCAACCCATTGTTAATTGGTTCAGTTTCCATCGTTTTACATGGATCAATCCGTTTCGTTTTAACTGTGTGGCACATTCTTACGATAATATCTTGTTTTGTATCTGAAAAATATATTCCATTAATTATATTTGTGTCAACTGTTCTGAATATAAGGAGTGTATCCTAATTCCCGGATGTCCCGTAGATGGTAGATAGACCGGGGCAAACTGAATAGAAAAGTCTTATAACATTTAGCAAAATTCGCAATAGTTATCGAGAAATTAATTTTAATGTCTGAGCGAATGAGAGCGTAGAAAACGGCAGGCCGGACACGGCAGGCAACGGTGGGGCGTTATCTAATAGCGAGAGGTGGAGCGGCGCGCCGAAAAAAAATTGTCACGTAGTGAGCGGCGAGCGTTGCCTGCCGCTCTCATTCGTTCAGACATAAAAATTAATTTCTTGATAACTATTGCGAATTTTGCAAAATGTTATAGGACTTTTCTATTCAGTTTGCCTCGGTCTATCTACCATCTACGGGACATCCGGGAATTAGGACACACCCTGTATACAGGGTGAGTATTTCTAATCTTAACAAGCAAATATTTCGAAAATATGCGTGTGCGAGTGCGTGTGTGTGTGCGTGCGAGCGTTTAGTATTGTGTATTACCTTCTCTCTGATGAATTACCGCTTGTAAACCCTCTCGCATGTTGATGCATCTCTCGATCAAGTTTTGCGGAATTTCATACTTGGTATGAAGAAATTTCGCAAACAACGACAAACAAAGAAAATGATATGTAAGTTATTCTTGCATTTATTATAAAAATATTAGATGAATTAATTTTCACTTAACACATAACTTGAAACACCTTTTTCAGAAGCGCAATAATATGTACTGATGATTATTGCTACGCTATGAGCGATGAACAACATACTAACAAAGTTTAGCGGAATTTCATACTTGATATGAAGAAATTCTGCAAAACTTGATCGAGAGATGTGTCAACATACGAGAGCGTTTACAAGCGGTAATTTATCAGAGAGGAGGTAGTAGACAATACTAAACGCTCGCATGCACACACACACACACACACACACGCACACGCACACACACGATGTGCAAAATCCGACCGGCAACCTCCACGTAGTGCACATTGGGTGACGCTAATGCCGGCGGTAAACATCATTTTTCAAGAAAGTACACGGTCCGCTTCAAAGTGATGTAACTCTACTAAAAAAATTTGTAGGAAAATTTTTAAAAAAGCATTTTGTAGATAAAATGTTGTAGATCGTGAAACTTGTATCGAATTTGTCGAGAGAATTTTTTTATCGAGCTGCAATGTGTCAAATATACATAATTTTAAGGAACAAAACAAGGTATTCTTTTTTAAAGCACAGAACGAGGAAGATGAACATACTTAAATCAATCGTTGACAGGGTTTTAAAGTTGAAACTTCAAGCTTTAAAATGCTTAGTTAGTTTTGAGTATACGATGATTTTTCGCTGAGTTTCAATGATTTGAAAATAGCCCAATTTTTAGGGTATGAAAAGTGTTCCCTATTTTTTTTTTAGTAGTGTAGTTGACTTTCATTTGACCTTAAACAGACGTTTCAAGGTCAAACCAAGGTCACTACTGTACGCCCCCTCTAGACCGTACAACTTTTATTTGAAAAGTTCTTGTGAGATTGCATATTTTCGAAATATTTGCCTGTTAAGATTAAAAAAACTCGCCCTGTATATTCTATAGTGGTTACATTATATTTTGTGCCTTGCAAACATCTGTAATTACTTACTATTAAGGATCATTTTGACACAAGCTATATTCTGGTACATGCTTTCGTGAAGGTCTGCTAATTTCTCAACATAATCTGCAAGCGGCTTGAGGTCATTACGTTGCCTGATTATTTGTTGCCATTTCCCTATGTTGTTACGGGTACATTCCATTGGTAGTAACTGTGTTGTGACATTGGAACCATTGGAACCACAGCCTTCGTCTGATACTGAGGTGCACATGTAGCATTTTAACACATTTTCTATAAAAGAAAATATGGACAATAAATCTCTCTATACCATTTTCAAAATATTCATATACATATTGCGTATATTTTTCTATTATACAGGATGTACCAGATCTGACGTGACACTTGTTATTGGCAGATTCTTGACATTGTTTTGAGACAAAAATCCTAATACCAGAACGTCGAGACTATAATAGTTTTTAAAAGATAACTGTTCAAAGTTGACATATTAATTTGCCCGAAATTTGTGGGGTCTCCTTTGTCACCTATACTGGCAGATATGGTCATGGAAGACTTGGAGACAGCCTGTCTGCAGAAACTAGGATTTGATATTCCCATATTTTATAGATACGTGGATGACATTCTCACGATTTTACCTATGACCAAGATTGACTTTGTTCTCTCAATATTTAATAATTATCATCCACGATTGAGATTTACTCATGAAACCGAAATACACAACTCCATCCCGTTTCTTGACGTGACACTTATCAAAGACGACAATAACAAAATCTTGACTAAATGGTACCAAAGACCCACTTTCTCTGGACGATACGTTAATTATTACTCGAGCCACCCCCTTAAATATAAAGTTAACACTATTATCAGCTTAGTTGACCACGCAATTTTACTTTCTGACAAAAAATACTGGGAACAAAATATAGATCTTGTTAAAAAAATCTTAATCAATAACTCCTTTTCTAACAAATTTATTAACAAACACGTAAATACCAGACTGAGCGAACTGAAAAGACGGGAACACACATACTGACTGTACGGCCACTAATAATAAAAAAATTTTTGACCCTAAAACAAGCATTATCCTCCCCTATATTAAAGGATTGACTGACAAAATTAGCACGAATTTGAAAAAACAGGTCTAAACATCATTTACACTGTCCCCAAAAAATTTGATAAAATTATTAAAAGAGGCAAAGATCAGATAAATTGGGACAAAAAAACTGAGGTCATCTATCGTATTAACTGCAACGACTGTGAAGCCTCTTACATCGGGCAAACCAAACGACACCTTCTGACTAGAATCAAAGAACATAAAAATGACATAAGAAAAGACGAAAGTTGCCACTCCGTAGTCAGCAAACACCGTGCATCACACGATCACGACTTCAATTGGTTGGAACCAAAAATTTTACATTGCGAGCGCTTTAGAAGAAAAAGAGAAATCGTCGAAATGTTCTTTATTAAGAAGACCGATAACACACTTAATTTACAAACAGAAAACAGACACCGAAAACCTAAATGTAATATACTTGTATAACTGTAATCAAAACTGTGTAAATAAATTATATAAATATATATATATAATTTATTACTTCTATTATACATATATATACAGGGTGTATTCTAATTCGCGCCCACCATTTATATAGTGATATTTCTCATGAAAAACTGAGTCGAAGAGTCCCGAACCATTTTTTCGAGTCACGCCACACAAAGTAGTTCCCAGA